TTGGCTGGGTTCTCTTAGACCCAGCACTCTTTCCTGCCTATGCAGGGGGTCGGACTCAATGATCTATTGAGGTCCCTTCCAACCCTAACATCTATGAATCTATGAACATCCCTCTCCCTCCGACCGCCCCCCACCCTTCAATCCCCGCCATAGAGTCTCACTTACTGGACTCTGCTGCTCCAGCAGGGAGCAGAACACACCCCTTTCACAAACCCCATGTTGTGCTGCAGGGAAACACAGGCTAACCATGGGCAGTCTGGGTCAGCTAATAAGGGCTGCCCTACACAGCCCAACCATCTGTCACCAGGCAGACTAAAGGAGCCTGCAGAACAGGCTGAGATGTGTGTGCAGCATCCTAATCCTTCCCTCCCCACCAGCTACACAGGTTCAGCATTGTAGCCTCTCTTCTCTTCAGGGCCTTGGCATCCAAATGTCTGGACACACAGCTCTAGGTTAGTTTTTCTACCAGGAGAACAAGCATAGGAGAGTTTGCAAAAGTATTTGAATGTGTGTATGCAGCTTCCTTTATCTTTGCTTGTGAATCAGTTCACCCCTGCCTTTCCTGTCTTATGGGCTTCCCATCTCACAAAGTGTATCACCTGTTACTATTAGTTTGGAATGAGCCTTATTATTTGGTCAGGCTTGTACCACCATTTACTAGCTGTTTTTGCAAGGTTCTGCAGCTCTCTCAGCTGCATCTTCCCATACTTGAGCTTTTGCCATAAATCCCTCAGCTGAACCTTCACCCATCCATGAATGTGCTCATCTTAGTCGCATTAAACTACCATGAGTCAGTGAGAACAATGGAATTCATCCATTGAAGAGAAACAAATATAATGTCACTTAAATGTTTGGGGAAAAATCCTGGTGACTCGTCACATCAGGATGCCAGCATCTCATAATTGAACATGTACATAATAAGGCAACTGTTGTATACAGCTAGGTGTCCTTTTGTATGTTGTACTTCCAGAATTAGCAGCAAATCCTAGCTCTGTATAGGAACCTGCCACTTGTGCATTTAGAAATCTGTGCAGTCTTAACCGAGCAAACAATGCAATCAATTGGAATTGTGCTAACATTGCTCTCTGCATCTGTTTCCACTGGAATCCAGTACTGTTTTAAGTGCCTATTTTGCCTTCTGATACTATGGTGATATCATATGGGAATTCTAAAGTTATTCCTGGTTAGTAAATCTTTTCTTTTTGTTGATTTCTTTACCTTACCATTTTGCATCTCCATTTCACAGTCTATCTGAAATAGGATTTTTTTTTGTGTCCATTTTGTTTCTTTTGAAATGACTTGCTCTAATCCTATAACAGATATTTGCAGGACGTGCTGTTGAAGAGATTTATTTTTTTTCCCATTAAGATAAGTGCAAAGTAATGTCTGCTAATCTACATCAAACATTTTGTGGTAGAGGTGATTCCATTGTATCATAAACTGCATATGGTCTTTGTTTGCTTTAGGACAGATGTTGGCTCTCAAAATATTTTCCTTAATTTTCATTTACTAAATTGATGTTCATTCTTCTTCATTTTAAGATGGAAGCTACAGACAGAAGCGATCAAACCTCACAAGACTGTTAGTGCAACCAATTTCTGCAATGCTAGTCAAAAAGCTTACTTCTTTACCTGAGGAGCATGGCAACAATGATAGGTGTGTCCCTCTTCAACTGACTACAACAGGTAACACTCTTTTAAATGATGGCTTCCTTTAACCATGAAATGTTCCTTAAGCACTCTGAATACATTCTGGATAATTTCTATAATTGAGGGTTTGGCTGATTGCAGGTACATTCTGCTTAGCAGCCTTTTAACAAGAGACTATGAAAAGCACATAAATTATGCTCTAAAAATGTGCTAAATTGAAGCTGAGTGAAAACAAAGTGCTGTGAAGTGCTACAAAAGAGCCATTTCAAAATAAAGCATTTGGTGCATTAGCTTCTAAAACCTTATTCATATTACTTCCAAGTTTCAGCTCTGGCGATCACATCATCTGCCAAGACTCAGCTGATATAAGTCAGATATTGGGAGTATGAAGTCTCTTAGTACAAGGCATTAAACTCTAATTCCTCTTATTGACTAAAAAATCCCACTGTCTTTATGCATCATCACCCAGGAGATGCTGCTGGTGCGGCAGTGCAGTTTGTTAGGCCTTGTTGGACAACGGAGGATATGATTGAAGCATTTAAGCTACTGCTTACAGTATTAATGCTATGGGTTGTCTTATTTCTGCCTCCAGCATATATATTATCCTTCTGAACAGCCATTTATCTTTCTTCATTGTTTAATTTGTATGTGTTCGCTTGGATATAAACAGCAACAGCGTATGTCTGTCTCTCAACCTAAGAGCACCTTTTCCTGCATGTTTCAGCAG